AGTGAATGCAACCCCTCATATCAAAATGATGGTTTATGTCCCATCTGGCTTTCCCTCCAGTACCAGTCAATTTAGGGACAAGAGGATTGCTGACCTGGAAATGTGAAAGATGATGTTGACACCTTTAATCCCAAGGCTGTGAGCAGATAAACAGGCAGAAACGTCATCTTCAAAGCATTTCGGCCACAAAAACTCATCACAGCCCCACCCTGACCTGAAGGATGATGAAACCCTAGTCTAATCCACTGGAATGTATACTTGGCACCCAGACCAGAAGCAGCCTCCTAGGCTCATATCAACTCACAGACTCACTAAGCATCCATTGCGGGCATGCCACTATGCTGGGAGGTTCGCAGCTCAACGTGTTAATGAGTTTCATAATTCAAGGGTCTTTATTTTTAGGTCACAGGAACTGGAATTCCACAGAGCTAGCTCATGTGTTTTTATTCTAGCCAGTAAGACGTTGTTTATTAGTAGACTGCCACTGTGTCTTATTTATCCCTGAATCCTCAGCAACAGGCACACCATCTGACACAAAGTAGACACTAAGCAATTGTTCTCAAGAGACTCATGGCCAAGGACAGGAAGACAATGAGTAATCACAAAATTACAAATGAACCCTACCTTCTATCCCCATGTCTGTTTTCTCTCAGGCACATAGTAGGTGCTCAAGACTATAAATTCCAAAACACTATACCAGCTACTCCAATGTTTGGCACATATTAAGTGCTCAAAACATATTTGTTAAAAGAATGAGTGCCAGAAACAGCTTCCTACAGCTTTCTCATAGTTTCCTAATAGTATGTAGATTGACTTGACTGATTGGTGCCCTCTGGTGGCAAAAGTGGTAAAGAAAACAGCACTCAAAGATTTTAAAATAATTAAAAAAAAAAAAAAAAAGAAAGAAAGAAAGAAAACAGGCTGGGCGCAGTGGCTCATGCCTCTAATCCTAGCACTTTGGGAGGCCGAGGTGAGTGGATCACCTGGAGTCAGGAGTTCAAGACCAGCCTGGCCATCATGGTGAAACCCCATCTTAAAAAAAAATAAATGAATAAAAAATAAAAAAAGAAAACAGAGCACTTACACTCAGTGTTAGGCATCACCTGGTACTTTCCAACCAAGGCACATTTTCTTTTTTTTAAACTGAAACAGAGCCTCCCTCTATTGCCCAGGCTGGAGTGCAGTGGCATGATCTGGACTCACTGTAACCTCCACCTCCTGGCCTCAAGCAGTCGTCCCACCTCAGCCCCCGGAGTAGCTGGGACTACAGACACAGCAACACCATGCCAGACTAGCTTTTGTATTTTTAGCTCAAGCGATCTGCCCACCTCAGCCTCCCAAAGTGTTGAGATTACAGGTGTGAGCCACCGCAGCTGGCCCATTAATAATTTTAGAGGAAGATTGTGGCTCCTTAAGAACAGTGTCCAAGTTTTACACATATGTTAACACGTTAAATGAAAAAAAGTTGGTTCCCATAAAAGTCTTTTTTTTAGGCCGGGCGCGGTGGCTCAAGCCTGTAATCCCAGCACTTTGGGAGGCCGAGCTGGGTGGATCACAAGGTCAAGAGATCGAGACCATCCTGGTCAACATGGTGAAACCCCGTCTCTACTAAAAATACAAAAAATTAGCTGGGCATGGTGGTACGTGCCTGTAATCCCAGCTACTCAGGAGGCTGAGGCAGGAGAATTGCCTGAACCCAGGAGGCGGAGGTTGCAGTGAGCCGAGATCACGCCATTGCACTCCAGCCTGGGCAACATGAGTGAAACTCCGTCTCAAAAAAAAAAAAAAAAAAGTCTTTTTTTTAAAGTTTTTATAAAGTCATGTTTATTGAAGTATGATTTTACATTCAGTAAAATTCATCCTGTTAAGTTTGACAAGTGCGGCTGGGTGTGGTGGCTCACGCCTGTAATCCAAGCACTTTGGAGGCCAAGGTGGGCCCATCACCTGAGGTTGGGAGTTCAAGACCAGCCTAACCAACATGGTGAAACCCCATCTTTAAAAAAAAAAAAAGAAAAAAGAAAAAGAAAAAAAAAAAGATTTGACAAATGCATAGTCATACCATAATCAAGATGCAGAACAGCTGGAGAATCACTCTAACGATTTTCTCCTGTCCATTTGCAATCAACACCTTTTTGATCCCAAGGAACTCACCTGTTTTTCTGTCAAAAGTGTCAAATTTAATCACTAAAATGATCTACAGTACTATGGAAAAATGTATAAGCACATAAAATACACAAACCAATTTTTTAAGTGAGATACTTTAAAAAGTTTCTTTAGCATACCAACAAAAAATGAAGGTAGCACTGCATTTTACTATAGATGTGCAAATATTCAAAGTCCACCATTGTCCTATCTATGGCTCAACAGTAATGTTTAAGAATACACTGGGTGGGCATGGTGGCTCGTGCCTGTAATTCCAGCACTTTGGGAGGCCAAGGTGGGCGGATCACCTGAGGTCAGGAGTTTGCAGCCTGGCCAGCATGGTAAAACCCCATCTCTACAAACATTAGCCCTGTAATCCCAGCTACTTGGGAGCCTGAGGCAGGAGAATCACTTGAACCTGGAAGGTGGAGGTTGCAGTGAGTCCAGATTGTGCCACTGCACTCCAGCCTGGGCACTAGCAAGACTGAAAACAAAACAAAAATGGGTAAAAATACAAAATTAGCTGGGTGGTGTTACGTGCCTGTAATCCCAGCTACTCGGGAACCTGAAGCAGGAGAATGATCCCAAGAGGCAGATGGTGCAGTGAGCTGAGATTGCACCACTGTACTTTAGTCTGGGAAACAAGAGTGGAGCCTTTTTTTTTTTTTTTTGAGACGGAGTTTCACTCTTCTTACCCAGGCTGGAGTGGTGCAATGGCGCGATCTCGGCTCACCGCAACCTCTGTCTCCCAGGTTCAAGCGATTCTCCTGCCTCAGCCTCCCGAGTAGCTGGGACTACCATGCCCAACTAATTTTTTATATTTTTAGTAGAGATGGGGTTTCACCATATTGGCCAGGTTGGTCTCCAACTCCTGATTTCGTAATCCGCCCACTTCAGCCTCCCAAATTGCTGGGATTATAGATATGAACCACCACACCAGCAAAAGTCATTCTGTATAAGGTCAGAATTAACCTTCCTAAGACAAATATTGTTCCCTCCTGTTTATTTTACCAAGATTTCTATATATTTTCCTTTTGAAAGAAAGATACTCATAAACCAGGCGCGGTGGCTCACGCCTGTAATCCTAGCCCTTTGGGAGGCCAAGGTGGGTGGATCACCAGAGGTCAGGAGTTCAAGACCAGCCTGGCCATCTTGGTGAAACCCCATCTTAAAAAAAAAAAAAAAAATTAGCCGAGCACAGTGGCATGCACCTATAATCCCAGCTACTTGGGATGCTGAGGCAGGAGAATCACTTGAACCTGGGGAGGCGGAGGTTGCAGTAAGCTGAGATCACGCCACTGCACTCCAGCTTTGGCAACAGGGACCCTGTCTGAAGGAAAATAACTAACTAAATAAAATTAATAGCTAACATTTGCCAAACATCACTATTTGACAGGCTCTTTACATATAGCATCTTATTTAATCTGCACAAGAATCTACGGCATGGTCATTATTAGAATATTCATTTTACTAATTAAACTAAGGCTTAGAACAGAATAGTTTAAAAGTTATCTGAGTTAGCCAGGTGTGGTGGCTTACACCTGTAATCCCAGCTGACCACCATGGTGAAACCCTATCTCTACTAAAAATACAAAAATTAGTTGGGCATGGTTATGCACACCTGTAATCCCAGCTACTTGAGAGGCTAAAGCAGAAAAATTGATTGAACCTGGGAGGTGGAGGTTGCAGTGAGGCAAGATTGCACCACTGCACTCCAGCCTAGGTGACAGAGTGAGACTCCATCTCAAAAAAACAAAAAAAAGTTACCTAAGTTCACTCAGTTAGTAAGTGGCAGAACCTGGGTTGACCTTAGCCATCACATGTCAGTGTGACTGCTGTTAACCACCATGGTATTGTCAACCTAAAGGAAAAAACTGAGGCGAAATTAATATAAGTAGAATTTACTTGGGCCAAATTTGAGACCCACAACCCAGAAGCATAGATTCAAGTTACCCTGCATATATGTTCTAATTAGTAGCAGATAAAAGTGTGTTTGTTTATTTATTATTTTTATTCAGATGAAGGTCTTGCTATGTTGCCCAGGCTGTTTTTTGTTTGTTTGTTTGTTACAATTTTATTTAAATAGAGACAAAGTCTTACTCTTTGCCCAGGCTAATCTCAAACTCCTGGGCTCAAGCCATCTACCCACCTCAGCCTCCCAAAGTGCTGGGATTATAGGCATGAGCCACTGCACCTGGCTCCCAGGCTGGTCTTTAATTCCTGGGTTCCAGAGCTCTTCCTGAGGCTGAGTGTGGTGGCTCACACCTGTAATTCCAACACTTTGGGAGGCCAAGGCAGGTGGATGGCTTGAGCCCAGGAGTTCAAGACCAGTTTGAGCAACACAGTGAAACCCCACCTCTTAAAAAAAAATCTTCCTGTCTTAGTGTCCTGAGTAGCTGGGATTACAGGGACATACCACTGCCCCCAACATGACAAATGTTTTTGGCTTTTTTTGAGCTTTTTATTTATTTATTTGTTATTGCTGTGTTGCCCAGGCTAGTCTTGAACTCTTTGAGCTCCTGCTTCAGCCTTCCAAACAGTTCAAATCACAGGTGTGAGCCATCATGCCCGCCGAACAAGTGAGGTTTTTTTTTTTTTTTTTTTTTTTTAACGGAGTTTCGCTCTTGTTACCCGGGCTGGAGTGCAATGGCGCGATCTCGGCTCACCGCAACCTCCGCCTCCCGGGTTCAGGAAATTCTCCTGCCTCAGCCTCCTGAGTAGCTGGGATTACAGGCACGCGCCACCATGCCCAGCTAATTTTTTGTATTTTTAGTAGAGACGGGGTTTCACCGTGTTGACCAGGATGGTCTCGATCTCTTGACCTCATGATCCACCCACCTCGGCCTCCCAAAGTGCTGGGATTACAGGCTTGAGCCACCGCGCCCGGCCCAAGTGAGGTTTTTTAAGATTGTTTTTGTTTTTGAGACGGAGTCTCACCCTGTCGCCCAGGCTGAAGTGCAATGGTGTGATCTCGGCTCACCGCGACCTCCGCCTCCTGGGTTCAGGCAATTCTCCTGCCTCAACGTCCTGAGTAGCTGGGATTACAGGCACGCGCCACCATGCCCAGCTAATGTTTTGTATTTTTAGTAGAGATGGGGTTTCACCATGTTGACCAGGATGGTCTCGATCTTTTGACCTCGTGATCCACCCGCCTCGGCCTCCCAAAGTGCTGGGATTACAGGCTTGAGCCACCATGCCCGGCGTAATTTTTTTTTTTTAATCGTAGATATGGGCTTTTCTCCATGTTGGTCAGGCTGGTCTTGAACTGCCGACCTCAGATGATCCGCCCACTGTGGCCTCCCAGTGCTGGGATTACAGGCATGAGCCACCATGTCTGGCTGCTTGGTCCTGTTTTCATGTGTTCACAGTCAAGGGCAAAAAGAGACAGCTGGGCTAAGCAAGTGGCTCATGCTTGTAATCCCAGTGCTTTGGGAGGCTCATGTGGGAGGATTGCTTGAGGCTATGAGGTCAAGACAGCTACCAAATATTAAAAAATTACCTGGGCATGGTGGCATATACCTGTAGTCCTAGGTACTTGAGAGGCTGAGGTGGGAGGATGCCTTGAGCACAGGCATTCAAAGCTGAAGTGAGCTAAAACTTCACTCCAGCTTGGGTGACTGAGATCCTGTCTCTAAAAAAATGCTAATAAATTTAAAAATAAAAGTAAAATAGGCTGGGGGTGGTGGCTTACGCTTGTAATCTCAGCACTTTGGGAGGCCGAGGCAGGCGGATCACCTGAGGTCGGGAGTTCAAGACCAGCCTGGCCAACATGGTGAAACCCGGTCTTTAAAAAATAAATAAATAACGGCCAGGCGTGGTGGCTCACGCCTGTAATCCAAGCACTTTGGAGGCCAAGGCGGGAGGATTACCCGAGGTCGGGAGTTCAAGACCAGCCTGACCAACAAGGTGAAACCCCATCTTAAAAAAAATAAAATATTGGCCGGGCACGGTGGCTCACGCCTGTAATCCCAGCACTTTGGGAGGCCGAGGCGGGTGAATCACGAGGTCAAGAGATCGAGACCATCCTGGTCAACATGGTGAAACTCCGTCTCTACTAAAAATACAAAAAATTAGCTGGGCACGGTGGCGCGTGCCTGTAATCCCAGCTACACAGGAGGCTGAAGCAGGAGAATTGCCTGAACCCAGGAGGCGGAGGTTGCGGTGAGCCGAGATCGCACCATTGCACTCCAGCCTGGGTAACAAGAGCAAAACTCCATCGCAAAAAAAAAAATAAATAAAATAAAAAATACATTTAAAAAAGTAAAAAGGAGAGACAATTGATAATCAGAAATTGTAAAAAGTACTAAAAGGGAAATAAATTGGATAGAAGAGAAACATTTTAGAAAACATATCGGCCAGGCCAGGCATGGTGGCACACGCCTGTAATCCTAGCACTTTGGGAGACAGGGTTTCCACCACATTGGTCAGGCTGGTCTCGAACTCCCAACCTCAGGTGATCCGCCCACCTCAGCCTTGGAAAGTGCTGGGATTACAGGCGTGAGCCACCATGCCCAGCTATTTGGGAGGCTGAGGCATGAGAATTGCTTGAATCCAGAAGGTATAGGAGGTTGCAGTGAGCCAAGATCTTGCCACTGAACTCCAGCCTGGACAACAGAGCAAGACTGTGTCTCAAAAAGAAAAAAAAAATAAAAAAGAGAGAAAGAAAACATATTAGTCCCGGTGCAGTGGCTCACACCTGTAATCCCAGCACTTTGGGAGGCCAAGATGGGCCGATCACTTGAGGTCAGGGGTTCAAGACCAGGCTGGCCAACATAGTGAAACCTTGTCTCTACTAAAAATGCAAAAATTAGCTAGGTGTGGTGGCGTGTGCCTATAAGCCCAGCTACTCTGGAGGCTGTGGCAGGATAATCACTTGAACTTGAGAGGCAGAGGTTGCAGTGAGACAAGATGGTGTGCCTGGGCGACAGAGCAAGACTCCGTCTCACAAAAAAAAAAAGGGTCGGGGGAGAAAAGAAAGTATGTAGCATATCTAAATATGTTTAGAAAATGTATTTTAGGCCTTTAGTTAAGACGTTGGCTGGGTGCAGTGGCTCAAGCCTGTAATCCTAGCACTTCGGGAGGCCAAGGTGAGCTGATAACTTGAGTCCAGTCCAAGAGTTTGAGACCAACCTGAGCAGCATGGTGAAACCCCGTCTTTACAAAAAATTAGTTGGGTATGGTGGTGCACGCCTGTGGTCCCAGCTGGCCAGGAAGCTGGGGTGAGAGGATGATTTGAGTCCAGAGGTGATATTTATGCTGAGAGATGAAAGATGAATAGAAAAAGCCAAGAAAGCACATTCCAAGTGGAGCAAACAGCTTGGGTGAAGTCCTGGAGGCGAGAAAGAACTTAATACAATGAAGGAACTGAAAGAAAGCTGATGTTGCCAGAGCTCAGGGAGCAAGGGGTGGAGTAGCAAGAAAAATGATGGGGCTCAGGCTTGGTGGTTGACACCTGTAGTCCCAGCACTTTGAGAGGCAAAGGCAGGAGGATCACCTGAGGTTAGGAGTTTGAGACCATCCTGGCCAACACAGTGAAACCCCCTCTCTACTAAAAATACAAAAATTAGCTGGGCATGGTAGCACACGCCTGTAGTCCCAGCTACTTGGGAGGCTGAGGCTGAGGTGGGCGGCTTGCCTGAGCTTGGAGTTCAAGACCAGCCTAGGCAACAGGGTAAAACTGTCTGTACTAAAATACAAAAAAAATTATGGCCGGGCGCGGTGGCTCAAGCCTGTAATCCCAGCACTTTGGGAGGCCGAGGCGGGTGGATCACGAGGTCAAGAGATCGAGACCATCCTGGTCAACATGGTGGAACCCCATCTCTACTAAAAATACAAAATTAGTCAGGCGTGGTGGCGCATACCTGTAATCCCGGCTACTCTGGAGGCTGAGGCAGGAGAAGCACTTGAACCTGGGAGGCGTAGGTTGCGGTGAGTCGAGATCGTCATAGCACTCCAGCCTGGGCAACAAGAGCAAAACACCGCCTCGAAAAAAAAAAAAAAAAAAAAAAATTAGCCTAGCCGGGTGTGATGGCACCCCCCTGTAATCCCAGCTACTTGGGAGGCTGAGGCACGAGAATCCCTTGAACCCGGGAGGCGAAGGTTGCAGGCTGAGATCGTGCCACTGCACTCCAGCCTGGGCGACAGACCGAGGCTCTGCTAAAAAAAAAATAAAAATAAGTAAATTATTTGAAATTGTAATAAGCTAAGTAATAAGTAAAAACTGGAGAAAAGCCATAACAATAATCTGGGAACAAGCTGATGTGACGGACTAAACCTGGCGGTAATGACAGAGAAAAATGAATAAATTCAAGGTATATTTTGGAGGTAGAACTGACAAGGTTTGTTAACTGACAATGTGTAGTAAATAAAGAAAAAGGGAGGAATAACTGCTGTAAACAACTCGGCCAAAAGAACTGAACCAGCTCCGCCCTTAGCGTTTGGACCCAAGCGAAGGAAGCTGAAGGGGGGAAAAAAAAAACCAACAGCTTAGCTACCTGCAGGCTTCCGGTCTAGCGTCGCGAGGAGGCCGTAAATCAGAGAAACCAGTTTGGCCCCCTCCCTTAATGGGCGGTCCTGGAGACTGACAGGCCAATGGCAAGCGAGTAGTCAAGGGATAATCCAATAGCTCTGGAGTGGGTGGTGTCCTGAGGAATTGGGGTCGACTGGACTTCGGGCCTGGAGTTTGGCATTTCCGCCCACGTGGGAAGCTGCTGTATAGATCCAGCTTGAATTTCAAGTGCGAGAGAGTCCTGGATCGCGAGTGATGGGTCCGGCGCCAGCTGGAAAGCAGCTGCGCGGAGCGACTGGAGGGCCAGAGGTGGGTTGAACCATCTGGGAGGAACAGAGGCTCAAATTGCGCTCCCTTGGCTGCAGGGCCTGAGATGGCGCGGCCTGACAGTTTGCGGGTGAAGGCCATGCGGGCGGCCCATTCTGGAGGATGCTTCCAGCCTGTGGCACTGAGACAGGGCTTGCTAGGGGGAATGGAACCTGGCAGTATTTGGACAGAAGCAGTAAAGCCAGTAGAGCCTCTACTCCCTTCTTGAACTCTGTACCTCATAGTTGAAGAGACCCACACTTGGGTCGTTTCCTTTCCTGGATCCTCCTTGAGGATAAGCGGATTTTCCTCCCTCTACAGAACTTGTGTCCAGTTCTGTGCTGCCCGCTGTAGCGGAGGGCATACGGTGCCTCTCCTGGAGCACTCCAGTAAGGCTTTCTTGGGTGAGAGGGATCGTGGAGGGGATGGGCCCACGGCTGCAGGGGAAAAGTTTGGGATCCTGCACGCTTGCTTTTGAAGCCTGCTCATAGTACGTGTGTACCAGTTGTTGAACCTCGAGTCAGTAATGGGACTTCAAGTGTCTTCAGGAATAATTGTGAGGATTTAATGACTTACAAAATGTATCCTCTGGGGTCCAGTCGGTTCTAGCTCCTTCCATCAATGAGTACTTAGTATATACTGAGGCAGTTAGGGCATCCTAGAGGAGGTGGAACCTGGTAGGATTTGGTTAGAGAGAGAATGGAAAAGAAACTACCTGAAAATACAAGTGGCTTGGCCATTACTTAGGGCAGAGCCCAGTCAGCTTCTTTTTTTTTTTTTTTTTTTTTTTTTTTTTTTTGGGTTTATCTTACCTTTTACCCAGTGCAAGGGCGTGAT